TGCGATCAATAGCAACCTGGGAGAAGAGACCAACCCCCACCTCACTCCAGCCTCCTGGAGTCCTTTTTTCATTTTTGAGGCTTATTTTTCCAGCTATAAAAACTAACAAACCGAAGTACAAAAGCTGCATTTTTTCACTCTGAAAGCAGCTGATCTGATCCTAAAGACTCCCACTTTAAAAAAAAATAAGAAAAACAAAAATCCCAGCACACACAATAAAAGGACAAGCTGGGCAGCCTGGCACCCATCTGCCTGGGGCTGGGCAGTGCCGTGACCCCCGTGGAGGTGAAGTGAGGCATTTGGAATAACCCATCAGCCTGTGGCTGAGCATCACCCTTCCCTGGCTGGGAAAATTCCCCCGTCCCCAGGCTGCACTCTGAGTAACCTCCTCCACGTACCACAGCAGCCAGCCACACGCTTTGTTTTCCTCCCTCTGCCCACTGGAGCGAGCGTGTGCACACAGAAAACTTGCTTCAAACCCTTTACAAAAAAACATACCTTCTGCCTGGCCCTTCTGCTCGGCTCAGGGGTAAGGATTTGGGCTTTTCTGGCTGATCTGCCCACACCAGCCCGGGGCTGTGTCTTTGCTCTGAGCCTCTCCCTTCTCTGCCAGAGAGGGGATGCCCCAAACTGAGCTCAGCTGGGTCCAGGCACCGGTGCACAGGACCACAGAAATCACCTGCACAGCCCCAAACTGCAGCTCTAGGAACCCAAACCCTCCCAGGGGCTGTCCTGTGTCCCGTGCTGATGGCAGCTCAGCTCCGGCAGCGGATGGGAGCCTCAAGCTGTCCCTGGGGATTCAGCAAAATCTGGAATTCTTAAGATAAAACAATGTGGCCCTAAAAACCTCCACCAGGGCCTTGAAAATGATGGGGGTGATTTAAAAAGCAGGAGGTGGAACCAGCAGTTTGGAGTCGCAGGGTTTACTCCAGCCCTGGCAGCACACCCCGGGGGAGGTCACGCTGCCCTGGGCTTCTCCACGCTTCAGACTTTGGACATTTCTTTTTTAAAATATAAACTACACGAGTCCTAAAATCACCTGGTGCCAGAAATCAGGGTTTTGAACGAAAAGCACCGAAGCAGCATGAGGAAAAAATACAAGACAACACCACTGACTTAACGACACCCCGTGCTCTTGAAAGGACACAGAAGGAAGGACCCCCTGCCCTGCAGACCCACCCGGTGTCTTTTCTGCCTACAAAGGACAGATCAAGTCACACCCCAGTGCTCCCATTACAAACCAGTCCCCGAAGCCAACCCCAGCGTGAGCAGAGGACAGGAACCTGCGAGAAGAAGGCACCAGACCACGGAACACCTCTGAGGAACCCTCCAGCCCCCCCCCAGCCCAATCCCAGCCGGTGCTTTGGGTTTGGCTGGAAAGCAGCTCCCCTCCCGAAGGGTTTTCCCGGGAAATCGCCGATTTTGGGAAGGCAGAGTGTGCCGGAACAGGCTCAGTCACCCGGCTCCGAGCGGGCACCGGGGGTTGTCACCTACCGTGGGCACCAGCCGCCCAGAGCGTGAGGATCCCCACGGCCACCAAGAGCTTCCCCATCTCCTGCTCCGAGCCCCGGCCGTGGCCCTGTGCCTGGGGTGCCTGGAGGTTCTGAGCAGCCCGGGGGATGAATCATGAGGCTGGGTGGATGACACGCACGGCGGAGGAAGCTCAGAGCCGGGGGGTGCCCCCCCCCAGCTCTGCCGACAGCTCCTCAGGAGGCTTTTTTGGCTCTCTCGGCTCCAAAAGGGACCTTCATAAACCCTGGCAGCGAGTCCACGGCACTGGTGACCTATCCTGGGCTGGTAACAGGCTCCTTCCCATAGGCTCTTTTCCTGGGTTTAATTTCTTGCAGAAT